CAAATTCCTATAAGCTTTAATCTCATAATCAGTAAGCTCTCCATTCTTTATTTGATGTAACCTATTTGAACACTTTTCATCTCTAGCTTGTAATTCCTTAACTTTATCTATCCATGATGGTCGAAGAGTTAATTCTGCACATAATGCACCATCGCCATTCAATGACAACTTAGCATCCAAAGCTCGTAAGGCTACAAACGTATTTCGGTTTAAAGCATCCGCCACCACATTTACTTTTCTAGGATGGAAATCAATTACTACATCATAGTCTTTTAGAAATTCCACCCATATCCTTTGCCTTAAATTCAACTCCTTCTGAGTCATTAGATACTTCAAACTCTTATGATCCATATACAAGTAGCATCGTTCACCATACAAGTAGTGACGCTAGATCTTAGGAGCGAAAACTACTGCAACCATCTCCAGATCGCGCGTCGGATAATTCTTCTCGTGCAGTTTTAATTGTCTCGGCGCATAAGCCACCACTTTACCCTCTTATATCAATACACATTCCAATCCATTATGGGACGCGTCGCTATCGACCACATAGTTTTTACCAGACTCCGGTTGAACTAATAATGGAGCTTCTGTCAAAATCTTTTTTAATATGTCAAAACTTTATTGACATTTAGGAGTTCACACAAATGTCACACGTTTTCTTATTAGCTTAGTCAAAGGTAAAGCGATCATTGAAAAGTTCTTAACGAACCTTCAATAATAACCGACAAGTCCTAGAAAACTTCAAACTTCAGATACCCATATTGCATTATGTAATTTTTCGTTTCAAAGATGGTATCGATACCGTCCTTAAGGTATCGGTACCCTTGGTATCGATACTACCCTCCAAGGTATCGATACCCTTTAAATGCCTTTGATAATTCTAGCTTTGAAGTATCAGTACCTGTTGAATGGATACCGATACCCCTAGCCAGAAATCACTTTTTAAGCCCGAAAATTATTTCATTTCAGCTCAAACACTTCATGTTTCATCCCCTTTCATATTCTTAGCTCACATACACATTCATAATCCCATTAATACTCATTTATCACATCTTTATCCTCAAAATCCTATCATCTACATAGAATTCAAGAATCATACTCAATTTTCAGTAGGTTCTAAATCCAATTCTAACACTTCATACTCCTTAAATCCATTAATGAAAAGTCAATTTTGGTCTTGAAATCTAATTACTACTTTCCTATCAAAATTTCATTTAAGAACCCCTCATCTTTAATCCTTTCTATTCCCTTCATCTTATCGTTTTAAGACTACTTAAGTTTTCCTTAAGCTTAAGTATCACCTAATGATCAAAACCAAACTTAAGATTCAACTAATAATCAATTAATACTAAATCTCACATTCGCTTTGGGGCCTTCACGTATGAAGAATAGAGGAGAAGAAGATAACTCTGGAACCTTTGATTTTTGCTTCTTTGCCTTCCACGTGGGTTAATATAATCAAACCAACTTTTATTATTTCTTTATCAATTGACCAATTTGCCCTTCTATTACTCTCTCTTTGCATTTCAATCTTATACAACATTTCCCATATAAGTCCTTAAACTATTCAATTATTCTACTTTAGTTACCAAATTCTAAAGTTTAACAATTTAATCACTAACCCGATATTGAGGATGTTACAAGTGTTGTAAGAAAATGGACACCTGTTATCATTGTGGATCTAGTAAGCACTTTTTGAGGAATTATGCACTATCGATCGGACCCCCGCTCAAACTTCTACACGTTCACAGGCTTTTGTTCAGACCCCCGCTAGGAGTCACAATCAGGGTAGGACTTATGGATCTGTTTCTCGGGTTGACAATAAATCTTTATCGCATAGTAGATGATCATATATTTCTGAGGCTTGATAGCATGTTCTTGTCTACGCTACTTGACGTTCTAGTGAGCGAGATGAGCCAGCGACTTCTGTATGTATATTTATTGCTATTTCTGTTTCATACCATGTATCTCTAACAACACCCTTTCAATATACGAGTTTCGTATCTTGAGACCCCTCAAACTTTTGATTTAAGGCACTGAGACCCTTTTTTAAGCTCTAAGTCTAACAAGTTTCTCCGTTATTGCCAATAAAGTAATTAGCCTTTGTTCTCTAGGAGAATTATTAAAGATCTTGGTCTGTTTCTTCTCTGACTCTAGTAAATTTTGAGGATGAAATTCTTTTAAGGGGATGAGAATTGTCACATACCAAATTTAAAATTAGAAGATAAATAATTTGTTCAATTTAATTAAATGACCAAAATGGAAATTTCTGGGTTAATATTTGAATATGTAGAGAGTTCAAGGACTAGCCCTATAATTTAACCATAACTATTCTAACAACAAAATTAAAAAAAAAGGAAATGTGTGGCTATGAGGTGTTGAACCCCTGACCCCCAACATGGTCAACCGTACCCCTACCAACCGAGCTAGGCCATTGTTACTGATTAGGGGTAATAAAATTTGATTTTATATTTTGGGTGTTAACCCATTTGGTTCAAACCCCCTTCGTAAACCAAAACCCCCCAAATCCTTTCAACTCCAACCAAAGCCCCTACATTCACCACTCAACAGTTGCTCTGGCTAGCGATCAGGTAGCCGCCACCCTCATCAGGCACACCTGACCTCCACGAAACAACCCCAACCAACCCCGTTTCAAAACTCAATGTAATTTACCATGGAGAAGCCCGTAATTCCTCGTCGAAACCCCGTTACCACATATATTTTCGTCAATTCTTGCCACCTCGAACATCAAATAGCCTCACTGCATACTCCATTAGCTCTGCGATGCTGTATACTCAAAACACGATCGAAGTTGTCATCCACCGTCGTCGTTTTCCTCATCACAGGTGTGGGTAAGCTCAATTTATATTTTGGTTAATTTTCTTCCAGTTTTGGCATGATTTTGGTTGATTTTTGGCTAAATATCGAGTGTAATTGGTTGGTAGAGGTTGTAGGAGTAATTGGAAGCCGTCCCTGACCTCTTTCGTAGCCTCACGCACCACCACGCGCCGACAGTGCACGTGGGGCTCTTCCCCCAACTCTGGGAGCCTTCTAGAACCGGTCCGAGTCAACTTGGACCGAACTGAGTCAACTTGAATCGATATGAGTTAACTTGAACCGGTTTGACCCGTTGACTTTGACCTGACTAATTGACTTTGAACATAGTTGACCATTGACTTTGACTAGAGTTGACCATTTACTTTGACTTTGACCAAAAAGTTAAATTTTTTAAAAAGTCATATTTTATGTTTTTCGACGTCCTGAGTCCAATTCGAAATTCGTTTTGCCAAATTCAAACTCAAAAGCATCTAAATTGACCGTTAAACCCAAAAGTGCATTTGTAAATTAAGTATTTATTTAAGTGCATCAAATTTTACTAAAGGATCAAGGACTAATTAATGTTATCAAATATTTAAGGTACTTGTGGAACTCGTGATCGTTCGTCTGCTTGACCCGGTTCCTCCCGATTCCTCGTCCATGAGAGACTATGAATACTCATATAGTTCTATAACCTTGTTACATATTCAATTTAGTATATTTACTATAATTATAATCCTGTTTTGATATAACCTAGGTTCTCATTTAGTAGAAGAGCATAATGAAGCCGATGCTCGTTAGATCTACCAGACTGTTTCATTTTGTAAGGTGTATTCCTTGTGTACCATATAATTGTTTTAAATATCTGTTAAAAAATCATGTGCACATGACTGTTTTATTTGCTTTGCAATGTGTCTATCTGTTTGACTTGATTCCGTATGATTTATCTGATTTACAATTTGATTTTTTATTTACAAAGATTTAAGCTTGATTGTCTAATTCATGTACTCTGGTTATTGATTTTATTGAATTGGTATCTATTTGAACTCTGTTTTCCTGCTACTACTATTTACTTTCTGAAAACTATTCTCTTCGGGGTACTTTGGGATTTGGTATAAAGTCTCTATAAATTCAGCTCGATCAAATTGGTAATTCCTTATTTAGGTTCAGACCGATCAAGCTGGTAATTCCTTATGGACCTAAGTCGACTCTTTGGTGGGCTTCTGGGCCTAATGAGCCTAGTGGGAATTCCTTATGGACCCTAAGGTACTCTCTTATGGTGGCTCCTCTACTGTGTGCATTAGGTAAGTCCTTATGGGCACTCCCCTCAGGTGAACACCTACGCTTCAGCTAGGGTAAGATCTTATGGGCCCAAAGTGATCCCCTAGGTTGGCACCTACGTCCTTCGGGCCTAGAGTAAGCCTTGATGGGTGTAGTTCTGGGGAACTCCATATGGTGTTCAATTGGAGGGAGATACTGAAATTTTAAACTAAAAACTCTACTGATGTTTTAATAACTGTGATGAACTGATTTTAAAAACTTAACTGTATGTTTTATTTATGCACTGTTGGAACACACTGAGGTCCCTAGCTCATTCCCCCAAACTTTTATCTTTAAGATATTTTGGATAAGCGACCCGTACCTGGCACTTGGAGGATCAACACATTCTTACAGTGATATTTTGTTGTAATGTTTTTAACTTCCGATTTGCCTTTAATTTGGGTGACATGTGCCTATATTTTGAAAATGTTGAAATATTTTATTTTATTCAATTTCCACGACCATAATTATATGGAATTGAATTTTAATGTTATCAACTATATTTTTAAAGATATTTATTCGTAATATGGTTCTACATTAATACTTCTATGTGAAAATACCCAAAATTTGTTTGTAGCATTTTATTAATTATAGATGAGAATTGGACCTATAGATTTTGTGAGCATGCTAAAATTGTTTCTAATCCTTTCAATTCATGGATTAAAGGATGCTACGGTTTACATGTTTATGAATCATTTTTGAAATATTGGCTTCAGGACTTATCATTGTCTTTTTTTATTAAATTATAAACCAGTTTTCTACTGCACTTGACCTGCTTATCTAATTGATGGTTTTGTTTCTCCACTCTATATTTTTATTTGATTATGTTTGAAGTGACCTTCTAAGATAAGCTTGTTGATTTCTCAAATTTCTTCTTTAAAATTTAATGAAACCAGGTCAAAGGCTAACCAGTATTTTTTTATAATCTGTCTCTGCACTGAAATAGAATGATCAAGAAGGTTCTAGGACTATGGATGATGATGACTTCATAGATGATAGTGGTGTTGACCCTGCAGATAGATATGGGAGTGACAATGAAGCAAGGTCTCCTGGTGCTGCCCCTCAGGTTCGCAATCATCTTTATATAGCTTGCACGAATGTTTGTCTTGTTGATAAAGAGTTTTAGGAAACTGGTTGTGGTATGATATTTATAGGTTTATGTACTTAGAAATTAAAATTTATTGGTTGCTCAAAATGTCAGATTTTTATCTAAAAATCACCCAAAAGTTAAAAAAAATAACAAGTCAATATTGTTTCCCATAAATTTTACCAAAAGTTTTAAGAAACGTACCTTACACACATGACAAAAAGGCGTGTACTAAGGGGAACGCCTTAACTGACATGGCAAGCCAACAAGAAGTGCATCCTAAGGGGCAAGCTTTTCCCCAAATTTTTATAAAGCATATTTAATAAAATACACTTTAAAAACATTTTAAAAAATAATACTACAATGATTAACAATGTAATTTAATTCATATTAGTTCCATGAGATATAGATTCTAAGGGATCTTTTTAGGCTATATTTGGTAACAACATGATATAAAAGTTAAAATGAGTTCTCCAGCCTTTTGCTCATGTAATCTTTATTTTCTTTATTTTTACTTAATACATTAAGTTAGAATTTTTTATTTTTACTATTTAAATATAAACCAGAGTTTATAATAATTAAAATTAAATAATTTTATATATTAAAATATTTTAATTTTAATTTTTATTTTTCTTCTATGATCGATTTATGTAAACATTAACAACTCCAAATTATACTAGTTTATCCCCAACAACCGTAGATCACTCGGTCAAACTATCAACAAATGGAAGATCTATCTAAATAACAACTTGTATTTTGTATTTTATATTTGAACTTTTAATAAAGACAAAGCTAAGATTAATGGACATGCAAGACAACAACAACATGCCATTCAGACATAGTTCTTCATTTGTATGTTTATCCATGTGTGTTTCTATTTGTATGCCAATGTCATTCATACTATTCTTCATTTTTGTTCACATTATTCCTCAACTATAGAAAAAAATGAAAATTTGTCCAAATAAACAAAATAAGATGACATTGAATTTTATATTTTCACATTTTCATAAATAAATGATTACTTATAGTATTTACTAAAATTTCATGAACCAACTTATGTTAGTAGTTAAGGAACTGATGTTATCCTTTAAGCTTACGAGTTTAATATGTAGGTTAACCTATGTATTTTAGAATTTTTTTTATGTATTTTTCTATCGAATTCAGTTTGTTGGGGAAAAAGTTGATACAATTCAGAGTTGTTGATGTTTACATTGATCAATCATAGAAGAAAAATAAAAATAAAAATAAAAATATTTTAACATATAAAAATATTTAATTTAAATTGGTATAAACTCTAGTTTATATTTTAATAGAAAAATAAAAAACTCTAACTTAATGTATTAAGTAAAAATAAAGAAAATGAAGTTACATGAGAAAAACGAAAATTTAAATAGGATGTTACCCATTTATCAACCAATTCCTAAGCAAGTTTCCTGTTGGAAGTGGTTTCCTCATCAGATTTTTGATAAGAATATAATGGCCTGCACATAAAATTTCAGGATGGAAAGAATTAAAACTGAAAGATGCTTCAAAATACAAAACTGAATGTAATGGTTGTTGTAATGAAGTTTCTTACTTTTCCAAGGCCACTTCTCTTTAGCTATTCCCTTCTATCATGTTAACAAATATAGGTTAAACACTCTACCATGTCTATATAAACTAATACCCTTAGGCTCATTATCTCATGAAACTATTGTGTATTAAACTACATTGTTCGTCCTTATAGTTTTATTTATTTATTTTAAATGTTTAAAAGTGTATTTTATTAAATATGCTTTATAAAAATTTGGGGAAAAACTAGTTCCTTTATGCGCGCCTTTTTACCACGTGTGCAAGGTGCATTTCACGAAACATATAATTTTTTTATAGTTTTTTTGGTTCACTTTAATCATCTTTTAGACAGAGGAAGATGATGAGGATCCAGAGATTAAGGATTTATTTAAGACGGATAAAAAAGGAAGAAGAATGATAAAAGTCCAGCAGAAATTGCATTGCTAGTTGAGAGTCTCATGGCTGAGCTTGAGGTAACTGCTGAAGAAGACGCGGAGCTTAATAGACAAGGGAAGCCTGCAACTAATAAACTCAAGAAATTACCACTTCTCACTGAGGTTCTCTCAAAGTAAACTGCTTCCCAAGTAGATATGCTTTGCTTGTATTTTTCTAGAGATGTTCATTTTCATCTTCTTTTAAATTACTCTTTATGCAGGAAGCAGCTTCAACCAGAATTCTTATACCATGGTGTTTTAACCTTGTTGAAAAATTGGCTTGAACCCATTCCTGATGGAAGCTTACCAAACATAAATATTCGAGCAGCTATTTTGCAGATTTTAACTGACGTACAAACTGGTATCTTTCTATTTTTGCACGTGTAATAATGGTCACTGTCCTGATGTTTTGTTGCATGAAAACTGAAACGCGTCTTTCATGTAGTTTCCAATTGATATAGAACAAAATGATAGAAGGGATCAGCTAAAGAGAAGTGGCCTTGGAAAAGCAAGAAACTTCCTTACAACAACCGTCACATTCAGTCTTTATTTTGAAGCATATTTCAGTTTTAATTCTTCCCACCCTGAAATTTTATGTGCAGGTCATTTTGTTCTTATCAAAATCTGATGAGGAAACCACTTCCAACAGGAAACTTGCTAAGGAATTGGTTGATAAATGGGTAATGTTCTGGTTTAAATTCCTGTTTATATTCTAAAGTTCCCCCCGCTTCCTTCTTATCATCTTTGGATCTATATCAGTAATGGTCATGCCTCTTGACCTTTATGTTTGTCTTTTTTACTCTTTAAGATTATTTCCTTAGGGTTTGTAATTTCAGTGGAAACTTAAGATTATTATAATTAAATTTTGTATGTAAAGTTTACACGTCTAAAGATGTCTTGAAAGTCTTTTTTCCGGATATCAGAGGAATTGTTTTCTGTCCAGTTGGATTCTCTTTTATTAATATTTTTGAATATAATGCAGAGTAGGCCAATCTTTAATAAGAGCACTAGGTTTGAAGACATGAGGAATGTTGATGATAATAGATTGATAGAGTTCCAATGCGAAGGCCACCCGTGAAGGGGTGCCCTTTTTGTCAGTTTATATATGCAAAATATGATATAATGTTTGCTTACGAAGCGTATGTGTTTTCGCATTGTGGTTTCTTACTGGTTTTTCTAAAATTCTTTTGTAGGCCTGCAAATAGAGCTGAATCAATGGAATCTAGAGATGGTGATTTTGATTTGGATATTTCTCGGTAAGTTCCGACCTAACATTTTGGCTTAACATCATTATTCTGATTATATGTGTTATTAACTATTTGTTGGTTATATAAAACTACAGGGACCACGTCTGGTCGATCATCATCAGGTCAAAATGCTTTCAGATCTGAATCTTCTTCAAGGCTACATGCTTCATGGCCAGATGCAACACCACCGGATTTTGTTGTGCGTACCCAGTCTAAGATTGACCCAGATGAAATTAGAGCTTGTGCAAAACAAGTTGTACAAGATCAGCGTCGGTTGAAGGTTGTCTTCTCTGTCTAGTGATTAAATGATGAAACCAAAGGGGGTGTTTATCTCAAAACGTTCCTCCATCAGTAGAACACCTAACATAATATCCTTTCTAATGTCTTCTTGAATTTACTTAGTTGTGGTACAGAATGAATGAGCTGCAACAAGCATAATCCCACCCCTTATTCTCATTTTGTTACATTTTCTGAATTCAAATGTTTGAACTTTTGTCATGGTAGATGAATAAGAAGTTGCAGCAGTTGAAAGTCCCCAAAAAGAAGCAACTGCAGGCGACCAAACTTAATGTTGAGGGTCGTGGTATGCTTAAGTATCTGTAAATGATACTCCATAATCCACATACCCAAACCATACAAGTTGTGTATTTCGCTGGAGAGAGCTTCTTTAATGATTCCTGATTTTACATACCAATTGTTTCAAATCATTGAAATGGATTCATTGCGGGGTTTCATTAATTCTGTCTTTGAAAAGTATCCTCGGTCCAGGTCAAATAAATATGGTAACCTAATATCTCAACTCTCAAGTGCTTACTTGCGTAAGTGGGAATTGATTCTGATATTTTTTTCTGCTCAGCACCCGCTTTACATGTATATATGTTTTTTTGCTCAGTCACTTTTGTATGTATGTATATAAACAGCCGATGGATAAAGCCATCCCAAAAGAGTTTTAAACAAAGTTTAAGAGTCGATTGTTTGGTTTGCGATAAATACAGTAGCCTTGTTTAATATGTTTGGCAGAGTTTAATTATAATTACCTTCTTAGAAACATATTTCAATGGCATATTATTGACCACGATGGCAATATCATTTGAACCATTCAGTTCAACAAGTTTGATTTGAGCAAGCATCTTGTAGGTCCAGGCAACTGACTCATCTAATACAATCGAGTCATCTGTTCGTTTCTTCCAAAGATCCATCAATATCTCTCCCTATCGAGAGGACATGGATGGTTTTCATCCTTATTCGTTTTCCCACATCATATTGACCTTAATGACATGCTTGCAAAAATTTCCTTGCTTGTGTAATGCTGCTCTCTTTGAGACTTGCCTGCCTTTGCAAATTGATGGCAATTGCCATCTAAGGTAACAGAAGAATCAGGAATCTGTAGGGCTCGGTGGCGTGCCAAGACATATATATGCAATGTATTCTTCCTTGACATTGTGAAAAGAATCACTTTCATCCTCATATCGGACAAGTCAATAGGTTGAACGCAACGCCGTTTTCAGCTTGTGCACTGACCAGTCGACTCTTTGAAGTGCACCAATATGTGAATCGTCAAACAATTTCGTTTTCAGTTTCACATGGTAGGCTTCTATGGTACCAGAATCCTCCTAGCTCGCAAGCCGAAAACTTTCAATGTTGAAAGCCACATTTATGGTCAAGTAGACATAAATAACACCAGTACCACTTGACATGGAAACCTTGTCGGCATTTGCTTATTTGTGCATGAGTAATAGTGAAGAAGAACTGATCAAATCTTAGGCACCCAAGAGGATTTGAAATAATTCATGAAGGCAGTTTGATCAACAAAATGCTGAATTAGTTCTTCAAGGCAACCGAAGTATTTATGCCTCCTTGAATGTCGTAAACTATTACACCCAAGCGCTTCAAAATCTCAAGCTGAACTTCAATATTTTAACATTTCTTAACAACATTCCTCAACCAAGATATACAAACAAGCCAAAGGGAGAATAGGATGGGACAACAGAATGCACTCCTTATCAGACATTCAAAACAGGACCAAGTCAGGGATACAATCAGTTCTAACCAAAGAAATTTAAAGCAAAATATCCCATATCAACTTCCACAGCTGCATTGTCGATCGCGAAACTGTTGATCTCCCATCCAAGTTCTATCCTCCGAGCTCGATCAAACAAGGCTTTTGTCCTTTTAGCCATATCTGATTTTGCAACGCTGCATGTAATGATCCATGCAACAGGTAATGCTGGGTGCATAAAGGATACTGGATTCAGAAACCAAAAACACTAAATGAATCACTGAAGTGTTTTATTAGGCTATTTTATATGTGTTTTGTACAAAATATGACCCGACTATCTTGACTTTAGAAGCTCAATTAAGAATGCTTTGTGATTATGAGACTGCAACATTATTGACTTACCAATGAACTCCTTTCGAACCCTACAACAGTCTGTGCCATTGTTATATTAAATCTAAATGAAATCCAATAATGATGATGAAAAAAGTAGCCTTGTTTGAGGTTCAAATTCTTCTCCATTTCTTCGTCAAGTTGCTGCGCAAAACATTAAGGTTTTCAGCATATAATCTTTGAAGCAAAAAGGTTGAAAGGGCACAATTTTAATGAACGTTTAAAGCCAAAGAAAACTTCCCAAATGCTCCAAAATTTCTAAAAATCAACGTTCAAGCCAAGCTATGCTTGGTTGTTGCCATGGTCATTGGATTGTCTCACACCAAAAGCAAGAGAATACTGAAAACAACATGGATGAACTGGAATGAATTCCAGTTGTACTTGGTAGCAATGTGCACACTCTGTTAGGAAAACCCTCAAACTCCATTGTAGACTTATTTTTGCAGACTAATATATTTGTTTATGATCATTCAAAAGAAAGTCCATGTTTGATTTACAGCCTTTTGCTGTATCATTGAGATAAAGAACAAGGAATCAAATTCTCATCTGTTCACTAGTCCCGTCTATTCTTTAGTACCACTTGTCTTTAGGGAAGTGGAGAATCATGATGAAGCACTAATCCCATATCGAAGAAGGAAGATAACGGACCCAAGCTGGACCCTATAAATAAGAGGCAACTAGCTAACTTACAACATACTTACCTAGACGAGGATAATGGGTTATCATAAAGGTCCAAGGCTTAGTTTAGTGACCTCTACTGCACTTAAGAGGGGTACTCGCCTAATGTCTCCCCAAAGTGGGAGAGCCTACGTTATAATTTGTGGTAGTGTGGTTTGCGTCCACGCGATCACCGTCCAATCTTAGTAAATTTTTTTTTGGGTTTATTTCATAAGCAAAATATAACTCGTGGGTAGATATTTGTTGGAATACTGAAGAAAACATAAAAGAGAAATGGAAGAGTAATGATTGTATTTCTTCACTTTTTATGAAAATAAGTATATTGGTTTTATAGAAACTTTACACAGCTAGTCTAACCGTATAGCTAACTTTAACTGCTCAGTAAAAGGCACCAAAGACTTGAGAAAAAGAGGGACACCTCACTTGATTAAAATATATGAAAGGTATGTTTACAAATTAATAGGACTAGCCTATTTATAGAAATAAAGGGACATGGTCGAATATATACATGGTGGTTCGGCCAGTCCTTGTGCCCCTTTAAAATGACACAATTAATTAATTACATGCATTTTTGCTGGATGGGGGAGATAAAATCCATGGCGATGCTTGAACCTTTTCAAGTTGGCGCCAAAGTGAAGTAACATGTGTTTTGGCCGAATGGTGAGGTTGCATTTCATCTTGGCGCCTAAAAGAGACCACATGCAAGGCATATGGTTATTGGTCATATGTCATGCACATAGGGGTTCTAGGGAGCCTTGTGGTGCAACCTTGTACATGGAATGAAGGCTGGTCACGTGCCTTATCTTGGGCATGCATGGGTGCTCCTTCCAGCTTGCTTGAGTGTGTAGCTAGCTAGCAATGCAAGGGATTGATGTGAATGAGCTTCCTAACCGAGACCTCCTTGGCTACTTAGCACCTCTCCTAGCTACCTTCAGCTGCCCATTTAGTCACTTTTAATAACTTAGCTTCATTTTGTCCACCAAGGTAAGTTTAGCTAGCCTTTAGCTCCTCCAGCTGAATTGAGCTTTCCATGAACTGCCATGGAGATTATGAGCTGATTATGAGTTGCCTTAGAATTCCAAATACTCCTACAAGCTACCTCAATGTGTGTCGTGCATCCATGTACCTATATGTGCAAAGAAAACAAGGTAAATCAAAGGAAATGAGTTGAAATAAATGAAATACCTTGCTACGTTATGAGCTATGAATGCATGTCATAAGCTAAGAACTATATGATATAACATATATGACCTAATGTATATGACTTAGGAGCTGATTTGAATGAAAATGATCTAAGAAATGAATGAATGAACATGCTGCCATTTCATGAATGAATTGAAACTTATCTAAATGAATGCAAGATTAATATAAATCAATAACATGCTTAAAATAACATCGTACAACAAGTAATATAAAGATGTGGATATGTTAAATTAAATTTCAGCTATTAAAACATTATATAACTTAACATTGGATGATGTTAACTTGTCAAATGAATTGAAAGCTTCAAGACACTTAGTTAAGAGTACTTCCCCGAATTGTTTGGCTCTAGATCGTGTAATGCGACATTGAGGCATCACTTCTAGATCTAATGTAGGTGTGACCACATCATCCCCCCTTCTTTTAGGCAATTTGTCCCCAAATAGTTTCCATCTTCAAATGGTGACAAATCAGATACATTGAATGAAACACTTATACCACCAAACTCACCAGGTAACTGTAGTTTGTAGGCATTGTCATTTATCTTTTCCACGATTTGGAATGGACCGTCTACTCGGGGTAGAAGTTTGGACTTCCGTTGATTTGGAAATTATTCCTTTCTAAAGTGCACCCAAACACAATCACCCACTTCAAAGGTTACATTCTTCCTTCCTTTGTTTGCTTACTGCTCATATTGTCGAGTTCTTCTTTTAATATTGTCCTTGACTTGTTGATGGAGCCTTTTCACGAATTCTTCCTTTTACTTTCCATCTTTGTTCACTAATTGATCACAAGGCAAAAGAATTAAGTCTAAAGGAGTTAAAGGGTTAAAACCATACACTACCTCAAATGGGGAATACTTGTTGCTGAATGAATGGTTCAGTTGTATACAAATTCTACATGTGGAAGACATTCTTCCCAAGTCTTGATGTTCTTCTTGATGATGGATCTGAGTAGTGTTGATAAAACTCTATTAACTACTTCAGTTTGTCCGTCTGTTTATGGATGACATGTAGTAAAAAAAGAGTAGTTTCGTTGCAACTTTACTCCACAAAGTCCTTCAGAAGTGGCTTAAGAATTTGACATCTCTGTCTGACACAATGGTTCGAGGAAGTTCATGTAACCTTACCACTTCTTTGAATAACAAATTTGCAATATGGATGTCATCATCGATCTTCTGGCAGGGTATAAAGTGAGCCATTTTAGAGAACTTGTCGACCACCACATATATTGAATCTTTTCCATTCTTGGTCTTTGGTAGTCCCAAGACAAAATCCATAGAGATATCAACCCACGACATAGTTGGAATAGGAAAAGGCATATATAATCCATGGGGCATAACTCTTGATTTTGCTCTTTTACACACTAAGCACTTTTCATATACCCTTTCAACGTCTTTTTTCATCTTTGGCCAAAATAGATGTTCTTTCAAGATGCTAAGTGTCTTTTCAACGCCAAATTGTCCCATGAGCCCCCTTTCGTGTGCTTCTTTGGTTAGTACTTCTGGTATAGAACCTTGTGGAAAGCAAAGTCTCATTTATTTGAAAAGATAGCCATCGTTTTGGTAGTATTTTTCATGAGCACCTGTTTCACATAATTGATATTTTTCTCCAAAGTCCAAGTTAGTAGCATATTGCGTTTTGATGAATAAAAACCAAGGAGTTTAGAATACCTGCGTAAAAGAGCATCAACCACGATGTTATGTTTTCCTTTCTTATAGTGTATAACATAGAGAAAAAACTTGAGAAATTCAACCCATTTAGTGTGCCTTTTGTCAAGCTTGTGTTGTCCCTTGATGTGCTTCAATGCCTCATGATCAATGTGGATGAAAAATTCCCTTGGTAACAGATAGTGTTGCCAAGTCTCCAATGCTCGGATGAGTGCATACATCTAGGTTGGGTAGTTCAGAGTTGCACCATTCAATTTCTCACTAAAATAAGCAATGGGCTTCCCTTCTTGACTCAAAACAACACCTGCTCCAATTCCGGAGGCGTTACATTCAACTTCAAAAGTTTTATCAAAATTTGGCAATTCTAGTAACGATGCCTTTGTTAAGCAGTCATTGATTTCATTGAATGCCTTTTCTTGTTCTTTTCCCCAAGAGAATATTGATTTTTTCTTAATAACCCCTGTTAAGGGAACGACAATGGAACTGAAATTTGGTACAAAACTTCGGTAGAAAGTAGCCAAACCATGAAAACTCCGAACTTGACTGACTTTAGTAGGTCTTGGCCACTCCTGAATTGCTTTGATATTTTATGGATCAACCTCTATGCCCTGTGAACTTAAAATGAAGCCTAAGAAGATAACTTTGTCAGTACAAAAAGCACAATTCTTGAGATTAACGTATAAGTGATCTTCTCTCAAAGTGCCAAGAATATACCTTAAATGATCAACATGTTTGTTTAGGGACTTACTGTATATCAAAATGTCATCAAAGAAAACAACACATAACTTACCGATGTATGGCCAAAGAACATGATTCATAAAATTCATAAAAGTGTTGGGTGCGTTAGTTAGGCCAAAAGGCATGACTAATCATTCATACAAACATTGTTTGGTCTTGAAAGTGATTTTCCACTCATCACCTTCCTTCATTCTAATATGATGGTAGCCACTTTTCAAATCAATTTTGGAGAAGATGTTGGCACTACTGAGTTCATCAAGCATATCATCCAACCGAGGTATAGGATGTATATACTTAATGGTGATTTGATTCACGGCTCGATAATCTATACACATTCTCCAAGTTTCGTATTTCTGTGGCACTAACAAGACTGAGAATGTATCCTTTTTCTAATAGTTCTTTGACTTGCTTTTTCAATTCCTTGGTTTCTTTGGGGTTTCTTCTGTATGTTGGTCTATTGGAAATGCTGGATCTGGGAATGAAATCAATTTGATGTTCTATTCCCCTAATTGGTGGTAAACCATCGGTAATTTCATTAGGGAACATGTCTTCAAATTCCTGCAAAAGAGTGGATATGGAAGAAGGCAAGCCATAAGGAGGGTTAGTAAGTGGAAAGTTTTCCTTGTATATAAGTACAAATATAACCTTCTTTGTGGATAAATACTTCCGAATATCTCCTCTGCTGGCACATATGTCTTTGTCCTTCTTTACTTTCTCCCATTCTTCTATACATGCTTTAAGGATCACTTGGCATTCGTGGACTTGAGTTAGAAGCATAGGTGCCAACGTTATCTTTCTCCCTTGGTTTTGGAAAGAATACTCACTAGAAAATCCATCATGAGTATCCTTCTTATCAAATTGCCAAGGACGTTTGAGGATAATTTGGCTTGCACTCATTGGCACAACATCACAAAGGACTTCATCCTTATATCTTCCAATGGAGAAAGAAACAACTACTTGTTTGGTAACCTTGACTTCTCCCACGTCATTTAGCCACTACAATTTGTAGGGGTGAGGATGCTTGGAAGTCTTTAAGCCCAATTTCTCCACCATTTAGGTGCTTTCTACATTCGTACAACTTCCTCCGTCAATGATCATTTTGCATACTTTTTCTTCCACATGACATTTGGTATGAAAGATGTTTTTTTTCTTTTTCATCTTATTGTCTTTGAATGTTCAAAGTCCTTTTAACTATAAATATGCTAGATAAAAGAGACATATTAGCAAAATAAGAAAATGAAATATGCTAAAGGACCTTACCAAAATATTACTCTCACAAAGTCTCACGAGTTCTCTCAAAGGAAAAACTTGAATGACACTCAATCCGCTCGTGTTTGCACTCTAGGACTTTAAGGCTTTTACTTGTCCTCTTCTAGTCTCCCACACTCAAGCCTTTTTCCTCTCAGTCTATTTGTCTCGAGTTCTAAGTAGACTTTACTCAAAACATTTTCAAATTATTCTTACTTGTTGTCCATCGACTGCAAATGGTTTGTGTGTATGAAAAAAAAACAAATATAATGTAATAGGGTGGCTTAGAAATAAGAAAGAAAAGAAGAAAGGGTTACTTAA